CAGGATTTTTTTTAAAGTCATGTATTATGCAAAATTCACTTCAAGAGGTTTTACTAACACTAATATTTGGCCCTAGTTGTCTACAAAACCCCAAATTATGAGAAAAGGCTAATCTCTACGTCTTTTGCCTGCTTCCCTTTTCAAAAAATGTGTGCTCAAACAGGCCGTTTGGAGATTTTCCCTTCATGACATCACAAAGGGCAGTAACCCCTCCCCCACGTGGGAGACCCTCCCACAGCTAGGTGTTTGTTCTGCCTTCTCACCGTAAACAATAGGACATGGAGTGAGAAAGCCCAAACAACCCGAGTCCTTCGAGAGAAGAGGCGTGGTCAGACACAGCTCATTTACATTTAAAGGTACAGACACAGAAACTGCCTGTTCTGAGCAGGGCTGAAATAGAGGAGTTTATAGACATGATCAAATACAGGATCAGAGTGGCTTTAGAACAAGAAACTTCACACACATGTTTTGGGGAGGTCTGAGACTTATTTACACTTGATGAAAAGGAGGAGACTATTCTACCTTTAAGGCATAGACAGAACATGTAAAAGAAAGACTGATTTTAAGGTCTGATTGCAGACTTTAAATTCTTCTATAGCGCATCTTAAATGGCAAGACACTGAAAGCCATGAAAATAGTTCTTTACTTCAAAATTTCACAGAAGAGGTATTAAGTTGGGCAAGATATCTAAATTATACAAACATAAATTTATTATATAAGAAAGAAATCAAACAATGATGAAAGAATAGAGAACTCTAAAGTAAATATTAGTGACTTCAGGTTGATTCACTCAGAGACCGAAACCTCCCCAGGTCAATCTGAAGGTCTGTGATTAGATAAACAGACATTAATCTTCTGAACTTTAGCTCTGCATCAGCACCTTATGGCTGGCAATTTAAGAGCAGAGAAAGGCAGAGCCACAGGAGACAGAGCCATGAGAGTCATAAGTCAATATGCTCGACAAGCTTCTCATGATGTATGAGCTTTCAGGTCGGCCTGATCCGTCTCATGTCATTACTGCTGGGTACATTCAAACATGGGGCTGAGAGTTCATACATGAAAAGAAATTGTGCAAACATTCATGTTAATTTAAGTAAGAAATTGATTTGCATTATTGGATAAAATATTCAGATTTAAAGGATCTTGGAATAAAAAGTGTCCATAACTTTCATCTACAATCCAATGCACACATACCGGTAGATAGAATGTGATATAACCTGCATAAATTTCTTAAAGGTACAGTCTCTTCTTGGTACACAAAGTGAAGCCCGAACCAAACCGTGATTCAAGACACGAGGGTCTTTCTCAAACCACTCCCGACACAGGTCCACTCTGTTTACACGCTCATGTGGAGGGTCCGCCACGTTGAGTGCCGTCCAAAACCTCTGAGCGTGGAGTGGGAGTCGGTTGCTTGCTAAACCCTCAAACAGAGTCGGCATCAATGCTGGCTTACTGATCAGGTGTAACACTGTTTATTGTTCGTAAAGGAAGACACTCCAATCATCAAAGTTACCTGTTATCATTGTGACGGCCCTCTGGACTGTGAGGTTGTCTCTTCTCTTTTGGGTTGCAACATGTAATTAGTAAGCGTGGCTGCCAAATCAGCCTGACTGAGAAAAGCAGTAAAGCTGACACCTCAGTCTGCTCAGAGAGCTTTTCTGCATGCACCTTGTTTGGTAACCTTGTCTTTCTTCTCCATCAAACACATTCACGATTTACTTTTCACACTTCCAAGTTCCTCTATTAACTTGGTTTAAAAATATGACATTATATCTGTGTTTTTTTAAAAGCTGTGGTTCTTTTTGAAAAGTGAAGAAGTATTGAAAAGTAAGGAAGTATTGAAAATTTGACAACCTAAGTGACTTTTAAATATTTTACCGGTAAAACCTTTTAAATATTATTTGCTAAAGGCTGGTTTAGTTTATCAGAAAGGCTAAGAGACTGAAACCAAACTTTGTCAAACCAGAAGACATTTGTAATCACAGAAGAAGTCCATGCTTAATTTTGGTTGGCGTGAGAAGTATAAAGTTCTAAAGCCTTAGAAAGCCATTAAAAGAAATAACAATCCACTTTGTACTAATTGTAAGTGCACTGGGCTGCAGTGTTTTATACAGTTTACATCCACAGTAGTTTGGGTTTAGGGAAGGTGCCTAGCTCTGCACAAAGAGAAAAAATAAATAAGTAAAAGTTTCAAGGAAGCAGCTCCACTGCCAATGGAAAAACATCACTCAGCTTCCATTAAAAGTGAATCAGTCTAAATATTAACACAGGAAAGAATGATGAATACCATAATTTTTTGGAAATACAGAGTAGGCTAGTACCAAGAAGGGCACTGCTGCTTGAAGATAGGAGAAAAGAGAGGGAAATTAAAGTAGATGAAAGAATGAAAAGAGAGATAAAAAAAATAGCCTCTGCATATGTTGTCTGTGAGAATTAAAAAGGGAGTGGCAGCTGCTGTTGTTGCCCAAAGGCCCGATTTCTTTGATTGACTTCATCAAAACAAGGAACATCAAAAACAAAGGCTCGCTGGGAGATTTGATTCCCATAGGGCATCCACACAGTCAAAAACAACATGGGGTCACTGCAAATGTGAGCATGTTTCCATCCTGATGTGCTAGATAATTATCCGCTCTTTAGAGAAATTGGAGAAAACAAAGTGGGAGAACAGTTGGTGAAATTCCAGCCGAGATAAATGATATGTCCTTAAGGGAGATTAGTTCTACAAGTATCTCGACCAGGTTGTGTATTATTCATTAGGAGCTCCACATTCAATGTTTGAGTAATTTGTCAAATAGGCCTCTTTAAGCTATACAGACGCTGGATAGATTGGGGTTGCCTGTCACCTCTCCTCTTATTTCCTGGGTTGATACCCTTGAATTTGTAAGAAAAACTGTTTTCCCCCAGCAGGCGCTACTTTGTGTTACTCCCACCCTGACACCACCGCCACCACCCTCGGGGAATATTCACAGTCTAGTTACCAAGATAACAGCGAAGAAAAATGGACAGCATTAACAAATACAGCACAGTCCATTTTGTTTTTGATCGGGGTAAGAATGAAAAAAACCGAATCAAAGCACAGGCGTATATTAATGGACACCGTAGCCGATCTATATAAATAAATAGGGAGCACATAAGTGGTTGATAAGCCGGTGAAAGGTGCACATAGATCATGTAAATTTCTCGGGTGAAAGACAGCAGCCTGGGCAATTTTTAAAATCACAAGGCATTGCTAATCCCGAAAGGCCACTCCATCACAATAAACGTCTTTAACAAGACAATGTGACACCATTTGTCCAACAAACCCTGCAGCTCCAAAAACATTTAACAAAAACACGAATGATAAGCTGGGACATTCAGTATTAGGATCATGTTAGTTAAATCTAACATATTAAGGGTAACCTATGTAGTCTTGTTAAGTGTTATGTCCTATACTGTTGATGGGGGACAGGGGGCGCCCTATGGTGCTGTAAGTGATGGTTATCACTGTACTATGTGTTGGAACAAGAGTTCCAGTGAAGTACGTGATCATGAACAGTCTCCGTGGTAATTATTGAGCTAACAGTCTTCCTTCATGACTAAAATCATTGTATACTTTACCCTGTTTCCAAAATACTTAAAAGTTTTGCATTAAATACAAAATGTGATGATTGCCTTCACTACTGTTGCCATCATCTGCCCAGGGACAACAGATGGAAATTAGCTAGTTAGCTAAATCTGGTACAAAACATCTCTTCTCTTCCGAGACAATTTTTTTCTTACACCCTCCCTGATTCAAATAAACTAATAAACTTAACTAAACTAAATTTTAAAAACACTAAAACCCCATATTTAGTTGAAAATCACACAAAGACGACAAGTATTATCTCGAGACGCTTTACTAAAGAGCATATGTGATAAGACGCAGGAAGGATTTCTCCTTTTTATTCCTCGTGTTCCTGTTGTCCACACTTCCTTGAGGTGGAGGTGTCTCGTCATTATGTGGGAAAACACTGCTCTGGGATGATGACATTTCTCAGTTTCAACATCTATATTGTCTTTGTGCTATTCTCAATTACTCACCGGGTCCTGTTGTTTTACACATCATCACAATCTGGTTTTATTTACATTTTACACAACATCCTAACTTTTTTAGGAAACAGGGTTGTCTATGTCTCCATAAGCAAAGGTACTCTGGTAGGGATAGTTTAGATTTATTTATTTTTTTACCAGAGTGCACGGAGAGATAGTTTTCACAGAGGGAGACAGAGCGGCAGAGGGAGGGAAAACTTCTGTTGATGTTTGGTAAGGTCTCACATCTATTTATTTAAAGCTATCTCTCCTGATGTTGGGATACAGCAGTTCTCTTCTGCAAGTGTCTCTCTGGCTTATTTTGTGTGTGTGTTTGGGGGGGGGGCTTCTGCTTTCTCAGGGTTGCATGAGGAGTGTTGATGTTTATTTTCAGTGCGGCTAGCCAAAGCTGTCTAAGACCAAAATAGCTCAACAGAGCGCGGTGAAATCTATACAGTGACCAGGACGCTTTGAGTTTGAACAGTTTTGAAAAACTCAAGCACACCGCATCTTTGAAATCTATATAAAAGAGACGTTTGAAGTTAGTTTAGCTCGGGAAAAACAGAGCCAAAGGGAAGGAAAGGAAAGTGTCTGATGGCAGGTTGAGGTGGTGAAAAAAATCACAACATAGCGTACATAAAACTGATATTGATTTTTTTGGGGTGAGATAAAGTAGCTATGAATATCCTACAAACCCCATCCACAGTGCTACATAACAGCTTATCCATTTGCCTTTTCCAAAAGGGGGATTGCTAACCGCCATTTAATAAAGAGAATACACTGACTTTTGACATAAAACCCCAAATCAATAAATGTGAACTATCCCTTTAAGCTACTGGCCTGGCTACATTTGGACATCATCCGGTTGGAAGGAATGCTTTAATTACCGTGAAGGTGATGCTCCAATGAGCACATGAAACAACATCGAGCACTTGTCTCAGGTCCCAACTCACCGTGTAAGTGATCACAGCCAACATGCCAATCAAGGTCAAGGTGCTGATGGAGAAAGACAGAGCAGGTAGACCATCTGTGGGTGGAAAGACAGGACAGCGGTTAGAGATTCAACCCCAGCCTCTGAAAGAAAAAGAAATCACTGGACTCTTTGCCACTTGTGCAACCTATCAAGAGCCTACTTTCTGTGAGCACTTTGATGATATTTAAGTCAGCTGTTTGTGGTTCAGCGTCAACAGCGTCAGAAAAACATGTCTCCAGCATTCAAGCAATTTGGCCGCTGCTGTATGACTCATCTTAATATCCTTGATTTTCCTAAGGTTCTTCTGAAATTACCATGTAACCATGGACAATCATCTGCAAAAGGATCTTAAGTAATGTAATTTTGGTACACTCTAAATCCCCCCTGCTGAGTGGTTCATATAATTCAAAAGGTACAAAAGTGCTGAGATTCTTAGAAACTCAAATAACTGTAACACACAGAACCTAAACTACTGTGAAAAAACAGAAGCTGGTGGAAAAGCAGGAACTGAATCAGGAAATATATTTGCAGTAGATGTTGTCTACTGTTACTCAGTCAGCCAACTTTGGGATGAGAGATTCATTTGCTTCAGTTGGATGTTAACTTGTCTGAGGCTACATTCACGCTCCAGTAATAAGTGACCTAAATTAGAAAAAATTTTTTGCTCATATGTGACCATTATCAGATTTATCAGACAGTTTGAACAGCACAAGGAGCAGCATGGAATCTGATCTTTTTAAATCAGGTTTGGGCCACATTCAAAAGCAGTCGTAATTCAGATGCATGTTGGATGTTTTTCAATGTGACCTTAACTGAAAAGTAAGGTGAGAATGCATGCAACTTTATCACTTTTCAGTTTTCAGAGTGCAATTCTTCAACAGCACCGTAATGAAGCTCTGTTGTTATTATGTCTTCATGCATCAATATTTATTCTGAAAGGCAGCGTATTATTTCTTTGGATTCTGCCGGTGTAAAGGAGTCAATTGAAGTATCTTTGACATCAAAAGAGCCCAGACCTCCAACTGTGGAGAGGCTGAAGCACAAGAGTTTCTCTGAAGACGTTACACAGGTGGGATCACTTTTTCTACCCAGTACGCCTCATAGACATTCATAGTGAAGGCGAGACGTCACCGGGGCGTAAATATGGCGCCTTGAATGGCAGTCTGAGAAGAGCGACTGACGTCACTCATCACAGTTGAGAGATGATTACTGACAGCTGCAGTCTAAGGTATCCCTTAACGTCCTGAAATTTTGGAAAAAATCTCTGTCTGTGGGGCGCCGGTAGCCTTGTGGTTAGTGAGCACGCCCCATGTATGGAGGATATAGTCCTTAAAGCGGGTGGCCCAGGTTCAAATCCGAGCTGTGTCTCCTTTCCAGCATGTCGTTCCCCACTCTCTCTCTCTCTCTCTCTCTCTCTCTCTTCCTTATTTCTGACTCTATCCACTGTCTGAATCTATCCCTCAATAAAGACATTAAAAAAGCCCCAAAAAATGACTTCCTGATCAAACCACTTCTGGCTGCACATTGTGCCTCCACGCCCACCTCCATAATGACATTGCAGCCATTGCTCAACTGAAAGCCATTATTAAATCTTTGACACTCTTTCTCCTCCTCACTATCATCAGCTCAAAGATTTGTTGACTTTCACTGCACATCAATTTAAGAAGTATGGTGAACGGCTAAACAAAAAAAAAACCTGATCTGAGCAATAAATTCTAATTGACTAGAGGAGCCATTCAATCATCCTAAGAAAATGTGACATTGTTTCTAAAAACAAAATACTGAGGGTAAGCTTTAAGCGGCACTCTGTCGATTGAGTAAATACTTGTGTTTAACTTTAATTTGGACCACCATTCAGCCTGCGAAAAGAGAGGTAAGATGTCTTGAGTGGTAACAGAAAAAGCTTTTTCAAGTGTGAGACATCATTTGAATGATGTCAGCGTGATGTTATAAGGGATATAACAGTTTGGGTTTAAAGATTACACATTTTAATTAGAGAACCTGCATCAAAACACTGGGAATTATTTTTGGAAAAAGTGTGAATGCATAAGCTAAGAAGAGTATGCAAAGACACTTTTAAGGCAGTTGTGCAATGGGTATATCCAGCGTTTTAGGAGCATTCACAAATCCCCTGAAAATGTCCCTGAATTTTAGGGTTGAGATTCATGTGTGAAAGCAAACAGCTGAATATTTCAACCCGACTCCAGTTTGTATGAAAATTCACCAGGAGCTGGCGATGGTGCTAGTGAGCTACCAATGCACCAAATGAAGCTGCATCGTACTCTTTACTGATTATAAGCATGTTCTTCACTACTCCTTTGTTGATACTGTGAATACTTCCAATCATACTGTACATAGCGTTTAATTAAAGGACAAACTTTCATCAAAGCATTTGAGTCTGTTGCTTCTTTTACCATTTCTGCATCGTCCTTTTTTATGTCCTGCCTCATGAGACCCCCTCCCTCCTTTCTACCAGGGAAAGTCTCCCCGTGAGGTGCATATAGTATATGAACGGGAAAATGTCTGGGGCAGCCTGTCCTGAAATATTCTAGACATTTTCAGGAGGGCTTGTCTGAAAAAGGCGAGTGTTTCTTGTTATCCTCTGTTTATCTTTTGATTGTTCTTTTGTGAGTATCAATATAAGTGGAGTTTCACTATAACTGGAGTTTCAATATTGCATACCTCTGTACATGGCTAGCCACTACAAAGTAAGTTGATATGTTCTGACTCCTTCAATGTCGTGATTGTAATTCTGAAGGCCAAGGAATTGTTAGAGAAACACGTCACCTCAAACAGAATAACAAAAGTCAAGCTGAGAGAAAGTTTATAATTGATAGTTTTGACCGTATACTCCTGATTCAAAGAGCATAGCTGATATTGAACTACAGGGCTGTGTCTCTGTTCTTATTTTATTAAAGTGAAAAATCAGGGAATTCATTTCCATGACGACACTTCAGAAGAAAGTTAACACAAGGACAAAACGCATTATGTTGGCTTCCAGATACTCTTCTTTTAATATCTGCATTTAATTAATGCATGGTAGCAAAGTCTTCCTCTGGCGTCACATCTGGTCACCATTTTTTTTTTTGTCCTTTTTTGTCATTTAAAACATTGATCACGATCAGTTGTTTAACAGCTGGATCCTTCAATATATGAGAGTTGAGTTGATGGGTGTCACCTTTGATTGAGGCAGAAAAGGGACCACCCATCAGGCAAGGGCACCAGTAGGTGTCACACCAGCTGTCAGAGCTGGAGTTAGAAGACAGGGATTGATGAAGAGACTGATTGCCTCCCTCCCCTGTCAAGATCCCACCTGCTATAGGGTTCTAGGTAAGACGCTACACAGTCGCCCCTTTGTAAGTATCCCACATCCTCTCAGCAGCCGCTTCACGGTGCCCGGCCCACCTGTCGTCATGAGCATAGGTGGCTCTCTGTTTGCCTTTCTCCTTGACAGTGGCATTTGATGGGGGATATTAAGTCAGCATTCAGTGCATGAATAATACGCCCTGTTTAGAACATTTATCACTTTCTTTTAGAGGCATTTCACAAGCAGCAGGACAAAGAGGTGGAAAATGGAGATCAATTATATGCTCGCTCCCTATTGTATTATATGTAAAAGAGAAAACTTTGAAGTCTGACAGCTGGGCTGAACATTAACATTTGAATGCATGTTTCTTATTCCCCGAGTGTTTCATTGTGATTTTGCCGTCTTTGTTTAGTGGTGAGCAAGGTAAAATATACAATGGCTGCATGTTTTGCATGGAGAACATTGCTTTCATGAACTCTACACAATGCAGAGGGTAGATGTTTGCTGCCACTCTTCTCGGTTTCAGGAGGAGATTTTCCGGGGATTTAGCAGAGGGAATATAGTCTTTTATCGCTGGTGCTTACACATCTGTACAGCTTTGATTTCCAGAAGCAAAGGAATGGGCGAGCTCTTATCTCAGGCTGCATATACCAGGTTTATGAGCATGCATGAAACTTGTACAGAGAGGTGTTTCTCAAGAGTGCCTTTAGCCTAAAAAACTGACTTCTGTGGAGGGAAAGAATCATCGAAGCTGTATAGGTGGATGGATGGGATATGGGATACTTCTGGTACTGCTAAGCAACACATTAGCCTTAACCTAACAGCAGAGTTGGGATGGTTTATTGTGAACATCTTGGTTGTTTTTTTTTTCTGGAATTGGTCGGGGAAAGAAGGAAACCCATATGATTTGGGGAATGGGCTAGCAGTGTAGTTTCAAAATACTTTGGATTAGTTGTAACTTTAATCCAACAGTAAAGGGACAACATGTTAATACAGATAAAGTATGATCGTATTGGGCGAATTGCAGAACATTAAAGAAGTAAGAAGGGAATCCCAGGGTAACTTGCTATACGATACAATACATGGGCCAAGATAATGATAATATCACAATACAGTAATTCTACAATAATTGATAAATTGCAAGATAATCATTTTGTGACACATCAGTATATATCGGAATAACTGAAGAATACAAAATACTCCTAAAAAGGTAAAGTGAAGCATTTCTGTTCACATTATCCTCGTCCTCCTCAGCTATTCATTTATATCTTTAATTAAAAAGCTAATAAACTATCATTTTCAGAAGTCTGGGGGAATCGAATGACTGACATTTCATAGCTGCTCTTAAAGGCAGTGTGACAAAGTCCTTTCATGTCACATTAAAAACAACACTGAATATGTATTCAAATACTGTAAGTGGTATCTTATGTATGAGTTGGTCTCATTAAATGATTTCAATATTTCCTCTTAGAGTGTTTAAAGAGTAACTAAACCCTAAAACCACTTTTTTCAACTCTAAACCTCTGTATTTGAGTATTAAGTAGTGTTATGGATCAATCCAAGTCCAAATCTCCATATTTGAGTACAAAGTATTGAAATTTGAAATATTATGTGAGAAATGTGCAGAGTGTCTGCCCTGTACAGCATGACGTAGGAGTACAGCCCCACGTCACCAAACCTATAAAAGCCTCGTCACCCGACTTGGCGAACTGGGGACTAAAGTGTGTGTGTGTGTGTGTGTGTGTGTATTTGTGTGTGTGGGGCAAACATTGTATCATGTTGCGACTGATAACGGCGCTAAGCAGTGAGTGGGCGTGTCTTGTTTCTCTACATACTCAGTAGAAATGCACAAAGAGAAAGACCAACAAAGAGGAAATAAATTTAGAAATGTAATTACGTATCGCAAGAAACAAAGAAAACCTGAAGGTCTTGACGTCCAAAAGCAACACAATGGAGGCCGTGATTTGTGCTCGAAACTTAAAAAGAAAGCTGTTTGTTCTGATCTGCTGTTTACAGCACAAGTGCTTCCTACTTTCAGCTACTCAAAGTTAAATTATAGCAGCATTACAATGAGCTTAAAAGCACAGACTGATTTGCACAAACCCAGATAATTTCCTGTCTCCTTGTAATTATATCCTATGGACGCTACACATCTCAAAAAGTTGATTGCCAAATTATCAGTTTTCAGTCGTTCTTTTGAAAGTCGCACGCATCGTATACTAAGAGGGGTGACGAGGGTAAAATGCAAAGTTAAAATGTTAGCTTTTGTTAAGTTTTTCTCATACCCTCTGATTTGTGCACACGTGTCAGATTTAGTTTAAATGTTCTTTTTTTTAGTGATCAGTTAGGAGTTAGGAAGGAAAGGTTAAAAGTTAGAAATCTTTCCTGAGTTCTCTTCCTTGTTAAAGTTGGACTCCCACACACACACTCTCGTTGAGGCATGGCCAAAATTACAAAATTGCAATGTGTGGTCCTGAATACCAACTGTAATAGCTACTGCTCTGGGGTTCATTCAGGCATTATTTGAATATTGGAGCATATGTAATGTTGGAGCCATTAAGGATGTAGTGGCTTTAATGAACAGCCATTGCAAAGCAGTCAGGGGTTATGTGGCGAAAGTGCCTTTCCTTTACACAATTAACCTCCCATCTGGAGAGGGAAGAGACGGGGAATTACAAAAGGGATGATCTTCACATTTCCTCCTCAGCAGCCGAGCAATTTGCCCCCCTGTGCCGGGGAAGGAAGGTTAGGGAGAGCATGTAGGGGTCCACTATCGTGAAGAGAGGCAGATGGTTTAACTTCCTCCTTGATCCCCAGATGGCAAAAGGCCAGAAGACTGTTAAGAGTCCTTATTGGGCAAAGCGTCTGCACAAGCTTCAGAATAAGCACAGACAATACTCTGCTCAACAAGTGAAGATGCTTATTTAAACGGTTAAATCCTACTTATTGCTCATTGATATTCAGTATATAAAGCCTTTTTTCTGAAATATCGGTACATGGAAATGTAAGGATGATTCAACAACATTAATGGCCAAATCATGTTCATGTCTCAGCACTCTCTATGACATCAATACAGAGATCTGGATCTATGAGAGGCCACAAGACTGCCTCGCCTAGCTCCAGGCCAATCAAATCAAGGCAGATGTTAAATTTAATGCAGGTAAAATTAAAGGATGACTGGGTCAGCTCTGTGATGAAAATGTAATGTTCATACTGTCTGGGAACATTTCTGAGAAATTTGCCATCCTGCATCAATTTAGAGAGTTATTATTATTATTGGGGTGAGACTGAATATCAACAAAAATAAGAAAAATGGAGCCTATCATTTATGAGATTAATTTGAAGCTTTAGAGGACGTGGATTCATGGTTAGGGAGAAGAGATAATGATGATGATGAGGATGTCATCTTTATTGATCTTTCTGGGACAAAAAGTGACGTTCTGACTCGTGCGATAAATGATCTAATCTCTGCTGTCAGATAACAATATATATATATATTTTTTTTAATTACAGCGCTCAAAGTTCTCAACACATTTCTCTCATTTGTCAATTCAACTCATTGCGTCACCACGTCAGGGCTCCTCGTTACCGGTAATCGGTTAAAGAAGATCTTGACAGCCGGATGAAAGAAGAATAAGTCAGCAGATGTTTCATTTTGGGTGCCGGTGGTCTAGTGGTTTGTTCGTACACTCCATCTACAGTTCTTGCACCCCCTCTTCAGTCCTAAAGCAGGCAGCCGGGGTTTGAATCCGACCTGTGGATCCTTTGCCGTATGTCATTCCCCACTCTCTCTCTCTGATTCTATCCACTGACCTATCTCAATAATAAAGACATAAAAATATATTTTTGAAAAAATAGAAGACAGCGGGATAACGTCAGACAGAGGTGAAAAAAAGTTGTTGAGTAAGCTGAAACTTTACTGCAGTAAATAAAAACATTTATACCGCACTTTGCATTTTGTGTTCTTCAGTTAATCAGATATTTCGATGTATCATCAAAGACTCTCGTGAAATATATAAATTATCGCAGAATCGGTTTGTTTTTATACTTTCGTTATTGTGGGCCGTGAACTGCGCTTCCCACCCCCACTTCATGAAAAAGTTTGTGATCATACTTTCCCTTTTATAAAAAGTTAAAGTAACAATAAGTGGCAGCTTGAGTTTCCCTGAGATTCCCCCCCACTGGTGATCCGTATTATATAAAAAAAAAAAAAAAAGCACCACTCAATCAAAACGTTTATTTCTAATTAAAGTTAATTAAAAATACTGAAATGTTATATCTCAGCCTGTTGGTGTGAATCTAAAACAGAAGTAAACCACTTGTTATTCAGAAGTTGGTTTTGAAGCTTAACAGCTTATGGTCCAATTAAAATAATTTCCCCAGAGATTTGAAGCATTTGATTATTAATAATAAGTTTAACAAAACCTGGTTTTACACCTGGACTAAAAGAAGATGTAGCCTCCTCAACACATGGATTTATAAAAGTATGTTTTTCTAGGTTTTTATTTTGGTGTTTGATTGCTATGTGGTGTCTCTAATTTGGTTTCTGCATCTTATTCATGATGGTTTTCTTCTTGTTTTTATCATCAATGTAAAGCACATTGAGCTCACCTGTAATGACATGTGCTTTATAAATGAATGTTCTATTCTATTATCATTCAAACCAGAACATTTGTATCTTTGTTGAAGCAGTCGTCTCATGTTGAGCTACCTTGAAACTACTTGTGTGTGTGTTTTTGCCTCGATATGTTCCCTGCTATTTCTTTTCTTTGGATTGATGTATTTACACTGGATCATCCATATGTGGCAAATAAGCTGCACAACAGAAAGAAGAGAATAAAAGAAGCAGGAAAATATACAAGATGAAGAATTGAGGAGCTTTGAGTAAAAAAGTGAAGTTGGCTAATAAATGGGTAGGGTGGGAAAAGAAACAAATAATTACACTCATGGTGATGGGAACAACAAGAAGGAGACCCAAGTTGAAAAAAGTAGGGAGAATTTTCCACAAATGCTACTTACGACTACTGCCAAGCTCCTCAAAAATGTACTGCACTTTCTCCCATTGAGTGGAGTTCTGACCGGGAGGCGCCTCGAGTGGAACGAAGGCTCTGAAAAGCAATCACACAATGAGGTTGTTAGGAGTACAGTGAAATGCATTTGGAAACTTCATACTGCTATATTTCCCATTAAAAAAAAGGAGAAAAAAAGTTCCTGTGTGTATTTTTTTAACCATCCCTCCTCAGAGAAACATGTTAAAAAACCTTGAGATGTAACTGTTGCTGAAAGATGGCAACAGAGCCACACATCTACAAACACAAACACAGACTGTGGCTCGCTGTGTTCTGTCTGAACACACTCACAGTGCGGCCAAATAAAAAAATCTTTTACAAAGTCTGCTTTCCAAAAGCTTCTGGACAGCACACAGAAGTTTGTTTTTTCGTCTAACATCTATATCGCTCTTCACAGACCTTTTATGTCCTGCACGGCGTAATGCTCAGACAGAAATGGCAAAAGAAGCTTTTACAGCATGTTCTCGACTCCGGCATCCAGACGTCTAAGCTCCGTGGTGAATGTCTGTTTCCTTACTTATCTGCAGCGCTGTGAAATTGAACCTCTGCCTCTGTCCTTCTCTAAACTGTTGGTGTTTTTTTTTCTCATTGCAGAAATCTCTGATCTTAATGTGCCACTGTTTGGGCTCGATCTTTCTTTCAAAGACTATTTATGCAAACTGAACTTAATTAGATCAAAGTAATGCTTGCAAGTATAACCTCACTTTTAATAAAAGAACACAGATCTTATAAATCCTATAAACTGGACTTCATGGAGCTGTTTTTATGGACCTTTTGCTTACCCACCTTGGATATTACTGCACCCTTGAAAAAGTGGATTAATTGTTATTCTTAACACAACGGGCATTCATCTAAGCTCTGGGACCACTCCAATCCTTTTTAATTTATTGTCGATAGGAACAAAACAACAACAAAACCACAAGCTGACTTAGATCCTACATTTTATAGCTTTCCACATTTAACAGTATTAACCATGACTGCCACGACCTTCTGAACAACATCAAGACTTCTTAACAAAACTTTTTGGTTTTCTTTTCCCCGGTAAAGGTTTACAAGGCTGTAGATACTTCATTCTGATTGGCCAATTATACACAGCATCAAACTGCTTTCCTTTCACAGCGGACCATTGTTAAGAAGATTGAACCATTACTATGAAGGGCAATCAGTTGCTAGGGAAGCAGACTCTGGAGGACTAACTGTAAAACTGTACGCTATGACACAGAAATATAGACATAAACAAAAGTAAGGCCACTCAATCATCACTTCTGATCCTCACTACATGTGTGGTGGTGACTGTGTCTGCAGACTCTGTCCCCCGCCTTGATTTTCATGTCTTGTTTTGGTTGGCTCGGGACGTTTCTGGGCGGGAAGTTGGTGTGTTTCCCCGAGCCAATGACAGCGCACAGGTGACTTTAGGAGTGGATACAATTCAGGGATTGGACGCGATTCAAACCCGAGAATATGACGGACGTGGACATTTAGATGAACCGAGGTGAAAAGCCACCTGGAAAAAAAATCATTCCAAAACGAGGGTGAACCTTCGGTTGGCTTTCACCTGTGGACACAGAGTTAGCCATCTTTCTGTTGTACAGGATGATGCCGGCGATTAGTTTGTGCTAACGTGCAGTAGGTTGCAATGTTGTTACGTGCAGTAAATGTACACGGCCGCTAATCCTGATGTGGGCGTGCACGTCTGATGACGATTAGCCCAGGAGGAGGCGTCAATTACCCCGATTACTTTTAGCCATTCTAACCAGAGACAGAGGAATATAATATTGAAGGTTTTACATCATAACATTTAAGGTAGCCTAAATAAAAAATAAGTAAATACATCTCGTTGAACAGGGACTTGATGATGTGAGAAAAATACATGTTGTCAACAGAACAAAAAGAGCTCGTCTGAAGACTAAGAATATATCTTTCTGTCAGCTAAAGTGTGGAAAGGGTCAACATTAATGATGCTCAGTTTCGGTGCAGACTTTGATTCCATTAATCATGAAATGCTTCTGCACTGATCATTAATCCTTCTTGACAGACGGCACAGAATAAGGCCAGAATATTTCTCAGGATCTAGCATCTACAAACTTCACATAAAATATGAAGCTCTATGAATCTGCAGGGATTGTTTTTTTTAAAGTTAAAAGACTGGTATTCCAAAAAAAAATAAAAAGTTTGAAAACCCTCACCCTGGGAGGTAAAAGATATTAGATCAGCATATCAGAGACTTCCCTTTGCCTCATACACAAAAAATACTTCTGAACTTCAGGTCTCAATAGGCCTCATCCTCCCTGCTTGCATGTAGGTATCTACAGGGGTCCATACTCACATTTAATCTTTTTAATATGCTCCCCCCCTTCGGTCATGTTGTGTGTCCTTATTCATTTTAGGGAAGAAAACACCTCATCAAAGCCACCTCGACCCTGACCAAACTATTCATAAATGAGTCTGCAGTGAGAATTTAATATCTGGGGCGGCTGTGGCTCAGTTAGTAGAGTTGTCGGAAGGTGGAGGGTTTGATCCCCAGCTCCTGCAGCAGCATGTCCGATGTTGCATAGTTGCTGCCAATGATTTTTCTGTGCGCCTGCTTTTTTTTTCCTTGAGTAGAGCTGGAGACAATTTAACCCAGCTAAGATTAGAGTAACGTTTGATAACCTTTGTGTTTTAGTTGACAATTAGTGTCACTGTCACAGAATAGAAGTCAATTTGTACACCAAAAAAAACCAGACAGAAATGCAATTTTTCTGAAGGCAAACCTTGGATGTGAGGTTTAAGTTATTTGCAATGATAAAACAATCTTGCTGAAGCAAAACTGTAGCGGTGAAGAATCGGGGGGTCATTTAAGGAGGAAAACACAGCGCTGGGTAAGCAGACAAGAAAAAAGAAAGCCATCAAGAAAAGACATCCTGAGTGAACGGTCACCGAACAAAGTCATTATGTCTGCTGGAATCAGAGAAAGAGTCCAGGATAAAAGCTATCATGTTGTTGTAGATCAAATGACTGAAGCAACAATTGCCAGAACAAAGCGACAATAGTTCCACTTCATGGGGTAAAAAGAGGGGCTAAATTGCTTCCGTCTATAAAAAAAAAAAAAGGTCTAAACTACCAAACTTTAAACAGTAACAAAGTACAGCCATGTGTCTTTTATTTTCTCAAACTAGGCCTTCATTCAATGCACCATTTAATGGTTGAAGGAGCACATTGCATCGTATAGGTTGAACTTGAGGCATGTTGCTGTCACGGCTGCAAAGGAAATGTGGTTCAGGTGCTTCTGAACACATCGAGTGTGAAAACTAGAAGATAAATGGGACATGGTGGAGAATGTGCATCAGTGTCGTTTGTAGATACAACACAAAATGTCACATAAAGACTCACATGTGCGTCGTACTTTGAGAAAATTGCAAGAGAGTTTGGAATTAGATGGACAAGAATAAAAACCTATATTCAGGCAGATGTACTTTTTTTTTTTTTTTTGGTTTGAGGGTTTATCATGGCCAGACAAATGGTGCTACAGCTGTTCCAGGGATTCTCCTCTCATTAGCCGAACACAATGACAAATCCACTTCCTCCAGCTCTCCTGCAGTGAAGCAGAAGAACCCATCCATGTCCCCAACTTACCCAATTAAAAGGAGCACCACGCAGACAATGGCAAATCCAATTGTGTACTTCAGAGCGTTCTTCACTTGCTGTAATAAAGAAGAAGAAAAAATGTAAATGGTCAATCGTGAGCAAAGGAAGGAAATATTATTATTCATTGTGAGGGAAGGAAAAGGGGTTATACTCCATTTAGCTCCAGACTATAGCGAGTGAGAGCTATATAGAGAAGGCGTAGATGCAGTTTGACCTGGCGGAGATAACGTGTCACTCCCAGTGCCATTCGAGGTGCTTTTAAAGTAACAATACAAAAGACCTCCCTGTCTGTGAGAGGAAAGTGCCTGTGTCAGCTCAAACCTGACACACAGAAAGGATAAAAGGCGCCAAGAGATAGCTGCTGTTTGGTACATCACTCACTGAAAAGACTTCTCAAGATAGCGATTTAAAAAAGAAAATTCAATTTAAGCTGTTGCCTCTGATTTAAAGTACGGTATTATTGGACAATTCCAACTTCTTTTTGCTGCCACAAGATGTGACAAATAATTTAACATGTTTTTTTTAATAAAGATAGTGCAGAACATTTAGATTCCTTACCTCATAGTATTCAATCAAACATTATGAATATGTTTTGTTTTTATTGTGCCAAATCCATACAAAAGCTGCACCATGACACTTATTACAGGTCAGGTTAAGCAGGTGTAGATCACACTCTTTGTTTGAGTTGCCACGGTAACAGAACTTCAACTACTGGATAGAGGATACTGATAAAAATCTAACTATATCAATAACTGCTTGATACCACAGCAACAAACAACAAGTCCTAGACATCCAGTATTTGGTAATTTCATGTTTTTAATTACCAAAAAATGTGTGAAAGGTTGGCATGGTCAGTGGCGATTCTACAGTCTATTGGGGTCCAAAATTAATTGGGGGGGCCCTCCAACCAGCGTTTATCACCACCAGTGTTCCAACGCTTACTCCTCTTCCTTTTTATTAGTCTTTCTGTGGTCTTTGGTTTTCAAAACACCAATGCATGCTATGCTTAGCAGGGCAACAGAGTGGTGCTGTCAGATGGGGCCCCCTTAGGTAGGTTCCAACTGTCCCTGGAAAATTTGCGCATTTTGAGACACTGCTGTAAAGTTCGTCAGCCCTCGAGGCCCCCTCTACTGGCCTACCTTGCCTGTCGACAATCAGCACCTCCGGGCATAGTGTTTGCCCAATTTATGCACTGAAGCAGCTTCAGGTTAAAAATGTATCTGAAGATTTTTTTTGATTTTTTTTTAAAGCTTTGGTACTTTTTGTACTTTTGGTACAAGTTACTCAAATGTAGTTGACGTAGTGAATATTTTGACAAGCTTTCTCTTTGCATTAAAAATTACAGAGACGTCACCCAACTCAATGCACCTGGAAAAAAAGCTAAGCAGCAGCCATCCGCTGTGACCGGCTGAGCAAGAAACCTTTTAAAATGTTCAGAAACATACTTTGAAAAGCCGTGTTCATGTCATCTTTTGTTTCATGATTGCTACTAAATGTCAAAGTGACCTCTCTAGTCAGCAGAAATGTGTATTAAGTCATCTCTGTGCTCACGATGTTCTAGTTTAACCTGTTTTTTTTGCAAGTGTTTTATCCTGGGAACACGCGACGGCAGAATATAAAAACACAAACACCTTTGCACAACATGTCGGGGTGAAGAATCTACAATATATCGCTCACTAACTGCCGAATGATTTTCAAATGTGGGGCTAGAACAGTTCCTCTGAGAAAGACAGTTGTAATGAAATTGACAAATGCCAAAAAAAATGGTACTTAATGAGTGTATACAAAGAGGGAATGTATTAAGTAGTTACTGTGACTGTTTAGATTTCACTTAGAATACAAAATGTAATATGCAAAAATGTAGTTAAAATCAGACTTTTCTTTTCTTCTTCTTTCTCTACATTCACTGTGTTATGTTCTAATTGAGTGAAATGCCCGCTGAGCACAAGATGATGGTTTTTCTGTGATATTTATGATTTAGGTCTTGTCTCGGTCTCAGAGCCATCTGGTCCAGGGTATGTCTTGGTCTCGGCTGTGTGGTCTTGAATACAACACTACTAACATCGACCGATAGTGTCGGCCAGCCGATTAATCGGTCGTGCTCTAAGATGTAGATATCTACAGTTAATCTAAACTAAATTTAGATTGATTTTTGTGTATTCACAGTCATGTAGAATCAAAAGATACTTCTGAAAAAAGAGTTTCACTTTCATTGTTTGTCATGTGTGCAAACAAATGTATTCATGTACCCTGAAGCTTGGAGGTTCAACTAAAATGACTTCAAACGTTTTTGCTTTTGAACGTACTGCTCAGCTGCACCGACTCATTTGGAGTAAATCTGAATTACTAAACAGGTTGTAGTGTCGAGCGTAGAAGAGAAAAGGTTTATACTTACGGAGCATTTGTTTCCATTGTCGTCGTCCCTTTCTTCATAGTAGAAATAAACAAAGGGGATCCATAGGAAGACGCAGAACAGTATGAAGGAGTAAAGGGCTGCATGGATACAAAAGAAGAAGTGAAACAGAAGAATTAGTCAGATATCATTTTGTAATGGACACTTTCAAATGAATGTTTATGATCGATTCTACAATTCACTGAGCAGACGCTTTTATCCAAAGTGATGTACATCAGAGAGTAAAAACAACACAACAAGGATCTATAAGAGGAGGAAACCATGTCAGTAAGTGCAAACTAACAGCTTTCAATCTGATCAGACACACAGGTGAGGACAGGAAGTGCACAGAGGTAAAGCACAACATTGACAGCTGTTCTTCAGAGTTCAAAATCAGAAAACAAAAGCATCCTAAATATCGTCATTATCAAACAAATCATCATCAGCATAATCGTCATCATCAAGTGGGAACACTTCCCAGGAAACAGTCTGAAAGCTTTTTTATCATGCAAATACAAACTGAGTCATCCTGACAAAGCACTGTGTTTACAAAGTCACTAATTTAATAACTAATTTACTTTTTGTGTGGCAAAAAGGCAAAATTTAGAAAGCAAATGTTGTTTTCCTCATGAAGGTCATCTTACTGCACAATGTAGCCCTGGACAGATTTAATTACCCCTTTGAGTAACATGAGTCCTCCTGGGGCGCCGGTAGCCTAGTGGTTATGTTATGTGCCCTATGTACAGACCACGTTGCAGCGGCTGTGGGTTTGAATCCGACTTTGGGCCTTTGCTGTATGTCATCCCCCACTCTCTCCTCCCCATATTTCCTTCCTCCCTTCATCTGTCCTATCTAATAAAAAGGAAAAAAATGGCCCCAAAAATATCGTAGTAACATCAGTCCTTTTTTTTTTACAACAGTTTTGAAAAGTCAAACATGTCGCTGAATAGTTTGCGTACTATTAAAGCCGCCGTTGTTATCCCTTCAGTGTTGCAAGATGAGTTTAAATTTGAGGAAAATTTGAGACAGCATGACCCCATTCCTTACAAACTAACTTTCTAATGACAAATCTAGGGCAGAGATCGCTTACTTATTTATCAAGAGACATTGATATCAAAATAACTTTCAGTCAGTCATCCATTGAAACATGTTTGTACTCTCCACAAACTTCAGACATGTCATTACCCCTTCATCAAACGTCTCTCTCTTCTGGATGTTTTTCTTATTTGTCTTTTAGAAAATATGACTGCAACTATGGTCCTAGATTGTTTGGGAAAAAATGTAATACTTTAAATAATTGACTTTACGTAACATTTTCATGGTCCTATCCACCTTCATTCAGAGAAAAGAAATGCATGCTTCCAGCTTCTTTATTAAAGAGAAACTGGAAAAAGAAACTTGCTGTAGTTGGAATTCCCATTAGCTGAAAAAATGTAGTAGATAGTCAGGGTGATTAAAGCAAAAATGCAGCAACAAGACCGACAAGATCCGATATAAAGATGACTTCAGTGATTGAATGTGGTCCAGAGACATGGCAACATTTCAGCTGATGTGAAAGCTCTCACCGAGGCCAATCACTGAGTGTGTTGCTGTGTTTTTTTTTTAGCTGATTGTTTTAATTGCTTTGAGTTCCTTGCTCAGATTGCTTTAATGTACAGAGTGTGATGATCCAGATAACTCTGCCTTCATGACAGGGACAAGTCTGGCCACAGGGTCGTGCTTTTGAGAGACAATGTTTCTAATCATTTTTTAACTCATCACTCTTGTTAAACATGCTTGTGGACTGCTCTCATCAGAAGTAGCTTTAACATAGAGAACGTGTACATTGTACTGAAGATATTTGAGCCCAGCAGGGAGCTACACGTGACAGGATTTGAAAAATGAAACCAATTATTTCACAAGAGCTCCAATAAGCAAATTAGGTCCACTTTGCTCAGCTTTTCATGTATGAATTTAAAAAAGTTACTGAACTGATTTGTTAATCAGAGTATTGTGTTGTTATGAGAAACTGTAATAAGAAACAAAACAGACAATAAGCATTTTCCTATGTGAAAAAAAACAAACATGCAAATTAAACCTGTCCTCAAAGTTTAGACTTGGCAGCCATTAGTTGCATTTGTGTTTTGTTTAAAGTTCTCTATATGGACTTGTTTACCTCTCAAACTGAATTTAAAAACACAGAAACAAGCATGTGCATGAACTTAAAGTCATCTTTGAAGTGACCAAGAGGAAAGACAATATCCAGATCACTGATGATGATGTTAATGGTGTTTCATAGGCCGTCATAGAGTAAGTGCTACAGTCATATTTATAGTTATTTTTAGCTCAAATGTGATACTAGTTGACATATTTTTCAATTTATTTATCATATGTTAAACCACTTTTTAAAGTTGTTTTTATACTATATAATATTAAAAACCAGACTTAAGACTGTTTAGAGGATGTGTATTAAATATGTGGAACATTAAAAATTTGCTTACACAAAAAATGTAGCAGTGGCAAAATACTTTTGCAGAGTACTCTATGTATTTGAGCTCATAATCCATCATTGGTTTGGGCAAAATTCACAAAGCAGATCATCTAACCACTTCTCTGAAATCAAACTGCATCAGAAAATAATTGAGTTCATCATGTCGGTGACCTTCAGTATAAAATGAATGACACCCGACCTTGTGAAGAGCCATTCTCGGAAACAAAGCCCTTTTTTGTTTGTTTGGATTTTCATGCACAAACAGCTTTAGCCTTTTTTCAGAGGAAAGAGCAACATTCAAATGCATTAGAAATTCATAGAGTGCAGGTGAGGCAAAAACACGTAAATAGAGAAATGCTATTTCAAGCTGGGGGCTTTTCTGTCTGAAAGAAAATGGATGTTGTTGAAGACAGCATAGAAAACCCCAAAATAAGAAAGCATGTCATAAAGATGTCCACATCAACATCGGTTGGCAAAGTTCAATACCTCCTGCAGGTAATAATCTGAGTTATAAGCAGGAACAACAACTGCCCACAACAATATGACCAAAGGGCTTTTTAATTTAGTTAAGACTCAATTTTAGTCAAACAAAAGGAGAATATAGTATTATATCTAGGGATGGGGAAAAATAAATTCACGTAAGTAGTGGGATTTTTTTATAGGACAATTTTTAAAAATCCCTTGGGATTGACAATCCGTTTACAGAAACAGCCAACATGAACCGAGAGCAGCAGAGAGAAAAAAAGCAGACAACCCAAGCCATTATTTATCGAAAAGCTCAGAGTCTTTTAAGTGATCAATAAAGCTATAACTCTATCAACCAATCAATCAATACTTACTTGTAATGCACCAAATTAGAACAAATGTTATCTCAAGACACTTTGCAAAAAGAGCAGGTCAAAAACCTTACTTTTTGGTTATATTATCTACAAAGGCCAAATGTTAATCCATCATGAGCACAGCACTAAGTAACATTTAGCAAAGTTACAGAGGGAAGGAAAAACTTCCTGTGAGGGGCAGAGATCTTGGACAAATCTTGAGTTATCATGAACAGCCATCTGCCGAAACTGCACTGGTCTTGAAAACGGAATAGAGGTAGATCCAGGAAGAAGGATAGGGCCCACCAACAATATCAACAACCTCTCATCCCCCATTAGTCTCTCTGACGGAAACAGCTGATAAATAAATAAAGATTCATTAATGAGGAAATTAGCCATCTGTTGTTCCATCCTTAATGAAAGAAGACAACAAGTTGTTGCCATGTCGGTATGCGTTCAGTTTCACACAACCGTCTCACCTCTGTGAGCGAGCAGGATATCTAGCTAATTAGCTTAACTTTTTTATGGCAACAATCGATTACTTATCACAAAACTTTTTGTATCACAATACTTAAGAATCGAAATACAAATTGACTCGGCACCCAATAATCATAATAAAGTCAAATCAAGACCTAAGCACATCATCCCAGCCCTAATGCCAACCAGTAATGGATAAAAGATTCAGGCAAGAAACAACATCTAGATACATGCCTCGAGCAGCGTCATTACTGTGATCAACAACGAAACAAATTCAGATGAGAACGTGCTCCTGATTAACATTTAATCCATAACATCAGACAGTACTAAATCTTTTAATGCAGCATACATGTGTACAGCAAATGTTCCATATCAGTCAAGAATTGCATGGCCTGAAGCAAGAACAAACATGCCCCTGTGTGCAATGGACTATAATTCACAAAAAGCTCTCTCCACTGCTGACGAATGGATGTCACTGTTGTAGTGGCTTGCTTTGTGCCAGCTGTGATTGTGACAGGGCATTACTTTCAATAAACACATGCTCATTGCACCACTAAGGTATCCATTTACACTCATTTACAGGCAAGACAAACTGAGTTTAGGATGATGCCAGCAGCCGATAAATGCAAGGCATGCACAGCATGCAGCCGCTGGCATATGCTTGTGGCTCTAAGGAATGGGTCAAATTAATCATAACACCATGAATATTAACACACTGAGAGAATAGGTCATACGGCATTACCATGGATCATCCATTACTCTCTAAGCAGATCTTCTACCTGGGAGAATGTCTGACCAGGGATACAAGTTTGCACATTTATTCCCCTGACGGAGAGGGGAAGACTAAATAATTAAATGTCCTTCCTTAACACTTTATATAGCGCCTGTGTCCATTTTAGGATCGACTCCAATTTTCTCAAGGGGGAGGCTCTATGATTAAAATAATTTGGAGGATTGATGGGAAAAGTGGCCAGAAAATCCTGGTCCTGAAAATGGAGGGCCAGCTGGGGAAACAATGCCAGGACATCAACACAAGCAATAGTTATACCTCATTGTGTTGTTGTTGCTATTTCTGGCAATTTGTGATAATCATTGCTACTATAAATCCAAGCTGATTCACTTTACACATGTATGGCTGAATGAAAACATTTGACCCGCATCTTATAATATTGATCTCAGGGGCATGAGCACCTGAACTATTGTACTTTGTAGACAGGACAAATGTTGTATAACTTATGTAAAAATGAAATGCTGGCAGACACTTCTTGAAGAAACACCGTCTCTGACAAAGGACTCTAGAGACAGATGAAAACTACCTGTCTGTGCCGACACTTGC